TATCGTTACAGGAAATTATGTGAGCTAGCAAAGGGACCCGATGGACATATATAAATCAAGCTCCTATAATCACAACGCTACTTGTAAACCAACAAGTTCGTCTCATGATTATAAAACTCTAGCGCTATTCCACTAAAAACCTAGAGTTGCACTCTCGATTTATATAGCGTATTTACAAAGCTCTGATTAGCTCTAGTCCATGACTCAATATATTAGTGTCTCATCCCCATAGGATATCCATAATCGACTTGAGGTCAAGTTCTGTTTTACCTTCCCGATTACATTTATCTTATGTTCCATTATCATACCATCAGAAAAATACTATTCGTATCATTACAAACAGTAAACCATTAGATAACACAGAGTAGTCCAATGGCTGAGCGCTCATATTTTCCAATCCACTGATAATGCATAAGAGGATATCATTGACACTTTATAGGAGCTATGGAATCCACTATCTATGAATAACGAATCTACGCATACACGAGTCATACCCCCAATGTACCGGCAAGTGTACCTTTACATAATGTCAGGATGTCTCCCTTTAGTACATCAAAGGATACAAGTCAAGTATATAGGTTCATCATCCATCTCAGGATTAAGATGACAACATATAATTCGTCAAAAGTGAATTGTTTTATTCAAACAGAATTATTAATTAAAACAATTCAACTTTGGTCCGATCCAATATAGATTTCACCATTAGAAACTATATCAATGTCTCCACCCATGGAGTCCCACCTCCAACGACCAAGACAAGCCGTCTCCGTTAGGAAGTAGACAACATAACAATCTTAACATGAATAAAGCGCCCAACTTTATTCCCTCGATTGTGGATCATAAGATTTAGACTACCATCTTTAGATTATTGTCTTCCGCATATTCTTCACATTACATGCATGACCTAAAGATTTAGAATGATAGTCTCAGACTTTCAGTTTGCTTATCATACATTCAACTATTATGAACATAAATAGGACAATACATAAATATATAAAATAAACAAATCTTTATTAATAGTCAAAATATCTCAAAGAATATTGTTACATTTATTCCTAAAGGCATAAACGCTAACACCTGAAGGGTTGGTCTCCCGATTACAGCGTTGTATTGGGAGCCTCCCTTTATTACCATAAAGTTGGCCATTGTCATAGTCTGTCTGGGTATCTCTCCTGCGGTTATGGGCAGCCGGATAGTCCCCTGAGGGATGACAGAGTCCCCAGTGAAACCGTATAATGGCCTGG